TGGGCACTAAGTTATGGTTAGATGGGAAGAAGGAGTTCTGGGGTGCTATCACACAGTAGATGACAACTGATTAGGGACTCTATACTTTTTAAAAGCTAGAAGAATAGATTTTTTTTTATCATGAACAAATGATAAATATTTGAAGAGGTACCTATTCTTAATTTAATTTAGACATTACATGATGCATTCATTTATTGAAACATCACATTGGTATTCCATAAATGTATGACTTTTATATGTCAGTTTAAAATGATAATATTTAAAGTGATAATAGAAATCATAGTATAGTAAATATATAAACCTGTAGCAGAGTTATTTATCATCATTGCCATACTGAATATGATTGTATATACTAGAGTTTTTTACTTAAAATATTTTTTGCAGTCTAGGACTGGAGCTCACTGATAGAGCACATGCCTGGCACGTGTGAGGCACTGGGTTCAATCCTCAGCACCACATAAAAATAAACAAATAAGTAAATAAAATAAAGGTGTCCATTTACAACTAAAAAAATGTTTAAATATTGTTTGCATTACTGGGTATGGAAGCAAACGGTGTCCTGTCTCTGAGCTACAACTTCAACCCACTCCTTGGCTGTTTCTGATAAGGACATTGCTCCATTCTGAGGCTGGCTCAAACTTGCAACCTCCTGCCTCAGCCTCCTGACTAGCTGGAATGGCAGGCATGTGCCACAACAACTTGGCTTACAGTCGATTTTATATCACTGGTAGGCTCTCCTGCATCAGCAGCACCACAAGTGTCTGAGTAATGCAAGGTACTATGAGGTTACAATGGCTATGACTTCACTAGACCATAGTAAATTCTCAGCTCTACTATAATATTATGGGATGTCTGCCACATATCTGGTCTATCACTAAGTATCATTTGTTATATAGCATATGATTGTACATTAACAACAAAAATATGAGGTATCTAAGAATAAATGTCTTAAAAGATGTGCAAATGGAGAAAATTAGAACTCTTCAGTTAAAGTAGTTTGCAATAAATGGAAAACCTTGCCCCCTGTGTTGAAGATGTTCATGATCTCCAGGTCGTCCTCTGGATCTCTCTCAATTCCCATCAAACCACTAAAGGAAATTCACAGGAACATCACACACGGACTCCACGACTTATGTGAAATAGCAAAAGCCAATAATAGACCAGAGACACATGGGGAGGAGGAGCAAAGCTTGGGGACTTGCCTCACAAGCTCTCAAGCAAAAGTACAAAGAAATTGCCCTTAAGACCGTGGTGAAGAAGAGTGGAACAGCCACAGGAAGGAACAGTGAACTCACGTACATGTGAACATTTGAATCTGTCGGAAGAGGATCACACCAAAGTGCCCTGAAAGCTAGCTCATTGAAAGGTGCCGTGGCAAGGCCTCACGGGATTTGGCTGGGTTTCTAAACAGTTTTGAAATATTTAAGAAACATAAGAATCAAAATAAGTACACATTTTCTTCAACTGTATTTGTTGTTACATTTGTCAGAAAGTTAAGGTGCTTTGAAATTGAATGTGTCAACTCTGTGACTTCAGGTTAAGTTGTCTAAGAAAGTTTAAAGTTGTTAAAAGGATCAGTCATTTCTCCAAAGTTCCTTGAAAAAATGTTAAAGTTTCTACACTTTAATTAAAATAATATAATACTAATTATTTGATGTATTAATCATAGTCCACAAAAGACAATGCTTTAATTTGTTAAGTTTAATAGATTAAATATGGATTCTATAAACCAAAATCGCCTTCCACCCCCCTTTGTGATATGCAGCCAACATTTCAAGACATGAAAACCGTCTGTGGCCATGAGGAGAAATGGACAACCAGAGACACAGGAGTGGGTGGACAGGTGGCCCGCGGGTCTAGAGATCAGCCCAGACCCTCTCAGGCAGGGGACCCAGAGAGGAGGAGGGGGAGGAAGGAGGGAAGAGCTGACAGGAAAAGGAGAGGACGTCATCAAGGGCTGCACAGAAGGTGGCTTTAATCCTCAGACTCCATCAGCCTGTGGAGATCCCGCCCAGGACCACAGGGGACTGCACCCTCCACACCCTGCTCTCCCCACTCAGAGCCTGTCTGCAGGGTCATCCATCACACCTCCCAGGGCTCCCTGCCACCCACTGAGAACCGGCTCTGCATGTCCTGCTTTGGCCCAGGACCCACAGGCCACCTAATAAAGCACCCCTGGCTGGTTAGGGACAGAGAGCTCACAGTAGTGGGGAAGACAAGGCCTTGTGCACCACTCAGGGGACATTTCTAATGGCTGGGAAGATCCCAGACCCACAATCAGGTTATTCACCTTTCATGACCTTGACAGTCACCCAGGTGGGAGACAGACCCTCCCTCCTTTCACAAAAGGGTGCTTTGCTGAGGAACCTGCCAGACTGTGGCTGGTCACCTTCTCACCTGCACCGAGTTCCAGCATTTTTGCTCCAAGAGCTGAAACTCTTCAGTGCACATTGTTATGTGAGGTTCCCCAGGCGACTAGTTCCCCAGAATATCTGCAGATAGAGGACATCCTTCCCCCAGCCTTTCCCAGAAGTCCTGGGACTACCTGAAAGACAGGTGTGTCTTACCATCCCCAAACTCTGAAATGCAAAAACAGAGTCAATGACACCTAGGGCCACTCCTGGGTGGGGGACTGTGAACATTGAAGGTTCCTGGGTGCAGGACCCCGACGCCAGTTCTCCTCAGGTCCATCTGTACCCACTCACAGGCTGGCATTGACACCTGGGTGTGCTGCCTGAGTGGGCACCACACACCTGCTGGGCTCCTGAACCTCCACTGCAATGCGGACTCCCCTCCTGTGTCCCCACCCCACCAGCTCCGTCACCTAGGTGCACAGCTCACCCTGTGCTCCCTTTTCCACTGGAGAGGGCCCAGGTACCACGCCCCACATTTGGATAATGCTAAAAGTAACCCCAATCCTTTCTTATTGATCCCTAGTGAACAACTACCCTCCACTTCACGAATAGCCCAGGTGATGGTCCCCTCCCTCTGGGACACTTATCAAAGTCTTTCTTTCCAGCTGTTGGTGGCCCTGTGAGTGCCTCAGTTACGTTGACCTCCCCACTCTCAGGACCTGGTCACCCAGCAGCTTGCTCAGGGTCTTTGGGTAAATGATCTTAGCTTCCCTGACCCCACACACCAGGGCTGGAGACATTGTGTGTGACGTTTACTCTGCATAAAACGTGAGGGGAAGCCTCGGGTATGGAATATGGATGCATTAAGATCCATCCCTAAAATCCCTAGAAAAAGCCACAGCTACAGAAATCCAGCCCAGAAATTTCTTTTGTCTTGTGTCCTCATATCATCCCACCTCCAGGAAGCCCTCAGGTACACGTGAGGAACATGGATCTGACCTCACGTCCTCCACCCTACCCATCACACACACACACAAAAATCCTTCCAGAAGGAATAGGAATACTGTTATCCACCAAAGGGCTGCAAAACAGGACTTTTCAGTGCAAACAGGGAGTTGGGCAAGATTTTCAGGAACTGGGTGCAGCATCAGGACGCCAGGAGACGGTGGGGAAACCCCTTTGGTTTCCTCCTTCCCAGGCTGAGCCCAGGATAAAAGAACCTGCTCCAGGCTGCTCCACTGCCTCGTGGATCCCTGAGGACAGAGCAGCCGGGAGAGCCGCAGGTGAGTGGGAGCGGCGCTGGGGGGAGAAAGCCTCACGGGACCATCAACAGGGTCCCGACGGGCGTGATGAGGAGGCAGGGTAGAGCCTGGGGTTGGGAGGGATGGAGAAGGGACAGGAAGATCGTCAGAGTCAGCAAGATGAACAGAGGCACAGGACAGAGAAGGAAATAAGGACCAAGGGGGTCAGGCAGCCAGCAGGGAGAGAGAGGAGGAGACACGTCCAAGGTCAGCTGTAGTCCACAGGCCTTGGCAAACCTAAGTCAGCCCCAGGCCACTTGCCACCAGTGTGTATGACACCAAGGTTTCACTGGGCCACGGCCCTCATGTGGGTTTATGTACTTTCTGTAACTGCTTTTCTCCACAATGACAGACGGGAGGAATTCTTACAGACATTGGCCTGCCACGCCTACGTGTCTCCTCTCTGGCCCTTGACAATAAATGTTGGCTGGCCACTGTTCTAAACCTAAAGTGACCTTTGAGCTGGAGGAGGTTAAGGATGCAGTGGAAGAGGACAAAATGCCGGGCCACTCAGTGGACGTTGGTGAAGCTGAGGCGTGAACCCAGCTTGTCCATCACGTTGAGTGTTTCTCCTTCAGTGACTGAGCTTCGGGACCCAAGATAAAGCCTAATGAAACCCAGAGCTTAGGATGTGGGGTGCCCAAGTGGGGCTCCCTACTGACGCAGGTGTGCTCCTGGATTCTAGTGCTCACTGTGGGCCACCCCACGGGAGGCTGGTGGACCCTGAAGAAGCAGGATCAAGTGGCAAAGTGGTGGGGAGACACGGAAGGCCTGGGGGAGTCACCAGAAGGCCTCTGAGTCAGGAGAAGAGATGACTTAGTGGAGAATAGGGGCCACGGCCACCTGAAAAGGGAAAAATATGACCCAGTCTCTCTCCAAGTTGGCTCTGCCTCCACAGATGGTTAAATGTCACCGTGTCCTGCTGTCCCCAGCCTTCTTCTCCTGAAGCCAACATTTCCAAACACATTCTGCCTTTTATCTCAAGGCCCACCTTCCAGAACTTTCCACATTTCTTATTTCCCTGGTTCCTTGGAGTGTGAGAAATGTTCATTTAAAGAATAGCACACACTCCAGGCCCAATCTCCTGGGAGGGGGAGGCCGAGGAGACACTGGCCACCTGTGGGCAGAGCCACCAAACTCCTGGTGGTTGGTGGCTGTGGTCCGGAGAGGTTCCTGAGGGGGACAGTCTTAGGAACACGTGCAACGTCTCTCCATTGATATTTTAAGGGGTGAGGGGAGAGGATGCTTTTCCCTTGTTTTAGGCTTGGGGATCACTTCCTTCCCTAGTGCAGTCTCAGTCTAAAGTGCTTCTTCTTTCTTTCAGTTTACCTTCAACTTTGGAAAAATGTCCTATCAACAGCAGCAACAATGCAAAGTCCCCTGCCAGCCACCTCCCCAGGTCCCAGAGCCCTGTCCTCCCAAGGTCCCAGAGCCCTGTCCTCCCAAAGTCCCTGAGCCTTGTCCTCCACCCTGCAGCCAGCAGAAGTGCCCCCCTGTCCAGTGCCCTCCATGCCAGCAGGACTATCCACCAAAGTGGAAGTAGCCTCAGGGGCCAGCCCTCTCTCACCTGGACATGCAGACACTGCCCACTGCCCACCTCCTCCAGCTTATTTCCAGCAACTACAAGGATCACCCTAGAAGAAGCTTCCAGTTCAGAACCAAGAAGAAAGTCAACTGGCTTTTCCTCCCCAAATCCATGCCTCCTTCAACCTCCTCTTCCAGGAGGCTGCAGGGTTTAGACAGGAGGGTCACCTTCTCCGACCTTTGACCCGTGGTTCAAATATGCCATTATGTTCAGCTGCGACCTCCTCCACCACCCAGCCTCCTGCTGATCATGTGGATCACTGTAAGAACTCAGAACTTGCTCCTCTCTCTACCTCCTCGGGATGCAACAACTTCATCAAGGTTTCCTGGAGCAAGCACGACTTAAAAAATGATCACAAGAAACTGTTTAAATCAATGGGAAAAAATGCCTAGAGCCTTACACCCCAGCTCCACGCCCTGTGGTGAAGTCAATGACGTCTTCTGGTTCTGTTTCCTACTAATAATCTCCACCAACCCTGACGCAGCTCACCCCTTTCTTTGAACTCTGAACCTGGAATATTCTGAGACATATAAAGTTTCTTCTTCTCTGATTCCCAAATTAAAAAAATAAAATCCACGATTGACCTTGTGCCTGTTCTCTTGCTGGGGATGGTGGACGTCACAGAGGGACAAAGGGCCAGTGGAGGGCAGCAGAGCCTGAGTGGGAAACCCTTGGTAAGACCTGGGAACTCAGGGGCCATATGAGAGTGACTGGGCGCCCGGGTCAAGCTAAGCGTCTCCTTCTCCTCTGGCCACCCATCTCAGTCCCTCATGTTTCCTGCCTCCCAGGCCCCTCTCCAAGAACTGTCATAGGGACTCCCCATGCAGGGACGTGGGGACTCAGGGCTGCAGACTGGGCTGAGCGTGAGGCAGGCCCTCGGGTCCATGCAGACTGTGGGACTCAGCCCTGGGACCTGGGACCTGGCTCCGCCTGGGGTCTGGCCTGTAGGGAATGGACTCCAACAGGGGTTATTTTTGTAGCACTTCTCAAACTATTTGCACCCTTAAGATCATTGAGTATCTCAAGGAGGTTTTATTCTTGTGGGTAATATCTACGGATATTTCTTGTATTAAAAATAAAATCCAGAAAAATTTAAACACACTGTCCACATGCAGATATTGCACTAACTGCCAGAGTGATGATGTCACTCATGTCACATACCCTCTGGTAAATTCTAGTGAGGACTCCTTTTTTAAAAAAGTGAATTAAAAAGACAAAGAAGATCTTATTATAGTTTTTAAAGTTTTGACCTCACTGATCCTGCTGAATGAACTTCAGGGACCCCAAGGTCCTCACACCACACCTTGACAGCCACTAGTCTAGGAGTCAGGGGGCAGCCCGACCCCCGTGTCTCCCAACATGAGCAGCACAGCAGCACAAGCTTCAGGTGGCTAAGGAAGCTCCCCTTGGGTCTGGGTACCCACTTATTTATGGATGCACGTGAAGTCTGTTTTAACCATCCTGCCAAGCTGAGTTCCACACTTTAACACTCACTGATCAGTGCCCATCTGATCCTGCTAAACTGCGTTCTGCACTTGTCTTCACCACCACTGACACCACTTAGAACATGTCTACCTTGATTAAAGACTGAAGACAAAGAGGACACAACAGTGAACGGCTCTGAGATTCTGGAGAGGATTCTCTCAGGGGTCTGCAGAGGTCATGGGCCCAGACTTGCTTCATGGGCCATTGAACTGATCTGACAGGGGCTTCCCTCCGGGTGCAGTCGGGAGCCTGGGTGCCCTGTGGGACATGGAGGTTGGGAAAGGAGGGGAGGCAGAGGACGGCTCCTGGGTTTCACACTGGGCTCCGCCTTGGGCTTCTCAGTGCAGTCGATGGACCTTCCCTGGGAGTGGAGACTTGAACCCAATCATATTCCATTTCCAGTGTGTTTCTAGCTCCACCAGCTGGGAGCTGGTGGCATGGAATGACCTCTGACTCTCTGCACCAGGGGAGTGCCTTGTGAGGCACACCCTGACCAGGTTTCCCTTCCTTTACTTTGAGAGATTATTAAGCTTCTTCTGTTCCACTGGCCAGTCCAGGACGTCTTTCTGGTGAAGGGAACCGAGGATGCAGCCTCCATCCCTGAAGACCGGAGAGCAGAAGACTGGATGAACTTCCATGGAAGGGTCGAGGCCTAGGGAAGTCCTAGGACAAGACAGAATCTCTACAATATTCCTGGAGGTGACAGCGTCCAAGGAGGATCTCAGGACCCACACATCCCCACCTATCACCCCCTGGGTGTCCATGGTACGTTGGTGGGACTCCTGTCATCTCTCCCTGTACTTCGACTCTGCACCTGGACGTGACAACCCACTTCACTCCCACCCAGACTGTGGCCTGCTCTCCCAGGGAGACCACCCATACGCCACCCTCCATACACACATACACATAGGGCCTGGCCTCAAGTGGACCCTCAGTGACTTGATCCTGGAGGTTGGAACTGGAGGTGATGGTGTTCATGGTGCAGTGATTTAATTTTAGGTGGTGAAGGAGATGGTGGGTGCAGTGGGCAAATATGAAAGGTGCTGGACACAGCCCTGGGACACTGCCAAGGAGTATGTTCTGGTAACGAGGACTCGCAGTTCTTTCCTTCCCACGTGTCTCCTCTCAGACACCAGGAAACACCAACGGCCAGAGGCCCAGGGGAGAAGGGTCCCTACCTCTACTCCAGACAGAGGCCCAGGTGAGAAGGGTCTCTACCTCTACTCCAGACACACACACGCCTTCTCCCTTCCCACTTCTCCCTTCCCACTTCTCCCTCTGTACAACAGCCCCATGCAGCTGTCACCCTGGAGCCCCACCAGGGCTTAGAGCAATACTATTCCAGCAGGTCTTTGACATCAATGCCATGGTCCCTGGGCACCCTGCCTGGGCACCACGATGCAGCCCACAAAGTGGCCATTGGAGATCAGGAAACCAAAGATCCAGGTCACAGACACGATTCTCTTGGACCTAAGCCAGAGCCTGGCTTTCTTGGGCCCCCAAAAAGGGAACTTATGGGGGTCTTGGCAGTTGCTGCTAGGTTCTTTCCTGGAATGGTGGTCACCTGCCATCTGTTTGGCTCTGTAGCAACCACAGTGGAGGAGGTGACTTCTGGGTGTTCACGTGGAAGAAGTGATTTGTACTCACCTCTGCTTCCTCATCTGCAGGGACTGACGTCTTCCTATCCCTCCCCCTCAGTGCCATGACCCTGAGCCACTGGGAGGCAGAGCTCCGACCCAAGGGCAGCTTCTCTGGGCTACGTGAGAGCTCCTCTCTCTGCATCATCTTGAGCTTGTGCCCAGGCTTGGGTACAAAAATCCAGGGGCAGGGGTCTGACTATCCTTTCTGATGTTCAACACAATTCAACTCCACCAACATACCGTGGACACCCAGGTGGGTGACAGGTGGGGATGCTTGGGTCATGAAGACCCTCCTTGGAAGTTGTCCCCCCCAGGAATATTGTCAGAATTGAAGACTAATTGGCCAGCTCCAATTGGCAGGTATTAGCCTCCCTGAGGAAACTGAGTTCTGACTTTAAAGTAACCAGGATAACTTAGGAAGATAAATGGCCACTAGTCTATTGAAAGACAATATATTTGCATAACTAGAGTAAGTCAGAAGACAGAAAAAATCACATGACACTCTAAATGCCATCTAGTTCTTCCTCATGTTAAATATTTTCCCCCAAACACCATCAAGAGATTGGTTGGCACTCAGTTGAGCATTTGTTGGGCCAGACGGTTCATAAACCTGTGGAGTGCAGTTAAAGTGGAGGAGAAGCAGGAGTTAGTGACTTCTTCATTGGCTCCTGTCACTTCCGCCGTCACCTGCTCCCACTCTCTGCACAGAGCAGGTCTTCCTGAGGCACAGCCCTGAGTTATGGGAGTCTGTGTCCCTCTTCCATCTTCTGTGTCTTAGACTAGACACCTCCCATGCCATGGTTTTCATTCCTTAACAGGTGCTGTTCCTTGGGGCTTCCCAACTGTAGCTTTCTCTGAGTCCTTGTGGTGTGTGAATGACCCTCTTAGAATGTGGGACCCAGAACTGACCCCAGCCACCTGAGATGGGGAGACAGGGGACACGGGGCTCAGTCACGCAGCCCCAGGGAAGCCTCCCGTGGTTGGCAGCTCTGTCCAGGGGGCCACAGTGGCCTGGGGTCATGGCAAGAGCAAGGGCGCTGGGAAGGTGTCAGTCCCTGCAGGGGAGGAGCAGACGCAAGAGCTGCACAGGAGCTGACAAGGAGGGTATTTGGCCCTTTTGGAGGAAACGGGACTGGTGAGATATTAAACAGGACTGGTGAGATATTACACAGGACTGGTGAGATATTACATAGGACTGGGGAGATATTAAATAGGACTGGTGAGATATTACACAGGACTGGTGAGATATTACACAGGACTGGTGAGATATTGCACAGGACTGGTGAGATATTAAACAGGACTGGTGAGATATTAAACAGGACTGGTGAGATATTACGCAGGACTGGAGAGATATTAAACAGGACTGGTGAGATATTACACAGGACTGGGTACATATTAAACAGGGCTGGTGAGATATTAAAGGCAAGTTTGCAGGTGACTGAAGGTGTTGGTCAGGAAAGGAAGGGAAGGGTCTTCCACCCACTGACTCTAAATCTATCAGTATGTCCTACATTCACTGAGGGTTTTAGTCCATCATCTCCCAAATGCCTTTTGATGGGGATTGCAGCGGGTGTCTGTCTCCTCTTAGAACTAAGCACACATAATCAGTCAGGTGTGGGGTGAGGTAACAGACAGTGTAAATGCTCTGAAGCAGTAGCCAGGGAGTTAGTTATCAAGCCCACATCAGTGTGAAGTGACAATTGGAATCTGACTCACATCTACCCAGGAATCAAGTCAGTGGTACCAAAACCAGTCCTGGATTATTTCCCAAGTTCTTGAGGGACTAATTGGAACAGAAACCCCAACAACTAGAAGAATATGCAAATCAGCTCCCTCACCTTGAGCAGGGGCTGTTGAGGAAGAAGAGGGCACAGGAAATCCCTAGAGCTCAATCTCTCCCCTAAGATTACAAATGGAAAAGTAAACTTCATGCTCTGAGGGCTGCAGAGACTGGGGGCCTTCACCTGCTTGAGGGACCCGGCCGGTGCTCCCTGCTACGTCTCCCTGGCACTCTCCCTGGGGCCAGGCCAATGCATGGGTCTGGAGAACAACGGTGAGCCATCTGGAGGCCACTGTCCCAGCTGTGGTCCCTGTCATGGAGAAAACTGACCCAGAGCTCGGTGTTAGGATCACAGGTTGGAGAGTCGCCTGGCCTGGTACAGAGGGTAGGAAAGGGGCTGGGGTGAGTCTCAGCATTGAACTGGGATGGTGGACATCAGAAAGGAGGGTTGGAGGAACCTAAA